TAAATACCTGGGAGTGAGATAACTGGATAGTATGGTAGCTTTGTTTTCATTTCTGGAGGAATCTCCAAGCTGTTATCCATAGTGGTTTTATCAATGTACATTCCCATCAACAGTATAAACAAACTGGGGTACATCTATACAATGGAATACTATGCAGCCATAAAATGAAAAGACCTATCAAGCCATGGAAAGACAGGGATGAACATAAAAAGCATGTTGCTAAGTGAAATAAGTTAATCTGATACCTTGGTTATCGTTTACTCCTATTTCAATTATCCAAACGATGGTGCCCTTTTTATGTTAAGATTCCTGGCCAGACACAATACCTCGTGCCGTAATCCCTGCACTTTGGGAGGCTGAGGAGGGTAACTCACCAGAGGTCAGGAGTTCAAGATGAGCCTGTCCAACGTGGTGAAACCCCATCTCTAATAAAAATAAAATAAAAATAAAAATAGCTGGGCATGGTGGCACGAACCTGTAATCCTAGGCACTCAGGAAGCGGAGGCACAAGAATTGCTTGAATCTGGAAGGCAGAGGTTATACGGAGCCAAGATAGCACCATTGGACTCCAGTCTAGGTAACAGAGTGAGACTCCCTCTCAAGTTAAAAAAGAAAAAAAAGATTCCTGCGTGACAAGGTTGGATTGATCCAGTAACATCAATTATATTTGATATAGTCTCATTCTCATATTGACTTTCTTCTTTGGGGACCTCCCCTGTCAAAACTCATAGGTTGTAACCTAATCCCGAATATTATTATATTTTCATTATGTCAGTATATTTTGTTATGGCAACCCAAAATGACTACCACAGTCCTCTATATTCTCTGACTCTCTTTCTGGTACTCTCCCTAGCAAGTGGGCTTCTAGTATTTTCCACTATGCCATCCACTTACTTTGAATGGTCTGCTCCCTCCCTGGCTAAATAGTGAGGGGAGAGAAAAATAACAGAGAAGTTTTCTCTCACCCTCTTCGGAACAACGATCTTCTTGTCAGAGAAAAGGATGTTCCTACTCAGAGTTTTAGATGCCTGACCAGCTCTTGCTAGTGCTCTCCTTGGAGGATTACACCTTCACGAATGGGGCTGGCTTGCCTGGAGGCAAACCTGGAAGAAGAAAGGAATTTCTCATGTTCTCTTTGTCTTTTAGGAATCTCCTATCCTATTTATTCAAACACAAAGTTTTCCTAGAAAAAAATGAAAAGTAAATTGGAGGCCTTTCCTTAGAACACTTTATCTCTATATCATGTGAAATTCTTCAGTTTTATATGCCTTTAAGTCCAAGCGGGAAGACAGAGAAGGAAAAAAAGTAAAGAAAACTACCCACAATATCAAAATATTACTCTGAATTCAAGTCAACCTCTTTTGGAGTCTCAGGGCTCCTGAATCTTTCTGAGGGTCCTGTTAAGAGTAAGAGAAGCAGAAATTCCTTTCATGTGGATCGCCAATCCATGTGTAGAGGGAGACAGGCCTCTACTCCAATCACATTTGGGCAACCTGGCACTGGATTTAAGTTGACAAAGTGTTTGTGGACCTGGTCAGGTTTCTGTCATCAACACAATATAGCCCGTTCATGATTTTCTGGAAAAGAACTACTCACGTTCTATTTCTTAGATCCCCAGAGTTACAGAGGTCAGCAGAAAGACTGGTCAAATAGGAGGGGGAATAAATACATCATTGTCCCAGGTAGCCTTCCTCTAGCCACTGTTGAGTTTTAAGTGCTACTCTGAGAAAGCAAAAGGCTCATGAAAGTAGCAAGGCCTTCTATAGGCTGAGACAAGGGGCAGAAGGAGCAGCCATTTCCTCTCTTCCCCTTTGACTCATATTATCTTGCTTCCTTCTGTTACTGACATGACCAACGACCCCAGCCTCTTTCAATCCTTTCACCTCTATCCTTACTGATGCTGTAATATATTTTTACTGCTGACTCGCCAAAAAGTAATCTTAAACAGACCCTTATTTATTATTCTGTATATGTCCGTGTATATTTGAAGATTTTTTGTAATCTAGTATTTTTTAAGTAGGCTTTGCATCTCCTAGTGATAGTTTTGTGTATGGTGTGAAGAAGGGTTCCACTTAAATTAGGATTTTTATATGGATACTCAGTTGTTCCACTGACACCTATTTCTGCAAGACTGTTCCACGTTCTAAGGCTGTGATTTTTTTCTTATCAGTTAAGGGCATATTTAGGCTGGTTTTGTTGCTTTTGTTTTCTCAGGACTGTCCACTCAGTTCCATTGGCCTATGGACCAATTCCTGCATCTAAATCTCAAACTCTTCATTACATTAGCTGCTTTGTAATTCTTACTATCTGGTAGACTAATTACTCTTTTTCAAGGATGTGTTGACTGTGCTTGACCATTTGCACGTCTTTATATTTAGAATCAGGTGATTCACACATGTCCAAAGCCATTTGGTTGTTTTGATTTGGGATTGCAATCAATCTATAGATTCTTTTTTCTGGAAGAACTAACATATTTAAAATATTGAAACTTCATACCTATGAATTTATTTTATTTTATATTTATGTAAGTCTTCATTAATATGTCTCAACAACATTTTACAATTTTCATCTGTAAAATTATTTTTGGTTAAGCATTTTTCTAAGATACTTGATACGGTAGTATGATAGGTTAAAAATTATATATTCTTTACTTTCATTTTCACACTCTCTCCCTGACAGAAAACAAAGTTGACATTCTTTGGAATACCGATCTGATATTAGCAAACTGATATATTATTGTATATTGAATAAATTACCTTTAGTTCTTTTTTTTTTTTTGGACGGAGTTTAGCTCTTGTTACCCAGGCTGGCGCGCAATGGCGCAATCTCGGCTCACCGCAACCTTCGCCTCCCGGGTTCAGGCAATTCTCCTGCCTCAGCCTCCTGAGTAGATGGGATTACAGGCTTGAGCCACTGCGCCCGTACCAAATTATCTTTAGTTCTTCTGGGTTCTTTTCACGCACAGTCAAAGCATCCATTAATCACATAAGCTTGTTTCCAACTGGCCAATCCCCATCCCTTCATTTATTTCTTTTTGCATTACTACCCTTGCTACTACCTCTACTATAAAAAGTAATAGAAATACTCATAGCAGACACTCTAGGTGAAGTCCCAAGTTCAAACTAGAAGCTTTCAACATTTAAAATATTTAAAAGATACATCTGCTACAGGTTTTTCATACATATCTTTTATCTAGATTGGTAACTTTTTTCATATTTAATAAACTTTATTTTAAAATAATTTTAGATTTACAAGAAAATTATGACAGTGTTCAAGAATATTCTTATATGCCCCGTAATCTATTACTTCTGTTATTAAGGTCTTACATTGGTAAGTTTTCCTAAAACTAATAAACCAATATTGATACACAAACATCCACTGTTTATTAATAAACATACTTTACTCATATTTATTTCCTTGTAACAAAATTCTGTTTTCTGTCCCAGGATCCCCTGAGGATACTCCATTACATTTATTCATCATGTCTCTTTAGATGCCCTTTGGCTGTGCCAATTCACTGACACTTTTCTTGATTTTGAAAACCTTGACAGTTTGGAGGTATATGGTCAGGTTGCCTTTGATTGTGAATTATGTGATAATTTTGTTTTGATTTGATGTAGGTTATGTTTTCTTGGACGATGAAGTGTCATTCTTATATACTGACAGCACATAGTACCAACATAATTTATCACTGATGCTGTTAATTTCATTCCCATGGTGACATAGTGTTTTACAGTTTTCTTCAGGGTAAAGTCACATGATATTTTTTTTTCCCGGTGTCATACTCTCATATTGGGAAGGACGGGAAGACCCAGGACCAGCCAGTAGTCAGATGAGACCTCTGAGGGAAAACTGCAGAGATTCCTTGCCCATGAAGAGGAGGATCCACAGAAACCAGCTTCCCACCTGCTGTCATCCCTGGGAGGCCCTGGGGCTGGTGGCCCACTATGATGTCCCCTGACATCTTAGTGGGCAGAAAGAGGAGAGGGCTGTGCTCAGGTGACTTTCATTTCAGATCACGAAGGGGGAAGGGACGCAGGACCTTCCAGGCATCCCCAGGATGATACAGAGGAAGAACCGCCGAGGTATCCCACCCCAGACACAGAAGGACCCACAATAACCAGCCCTTGTTTTCACCCCTAGGAGGCCTTGGTCAGGACCATTAGGGAGAGATGCTAGCGTGATTCATTTCCTCTTGGGGTTTCATGGAAATAGGAACCTGGATCTGAGGCACAGTCTCTGGAGAGGAGGGCGACAGAGTGGAGGCCCTGTCAGGAATAATATGCTAAAGAAGACTGAGGGGCCTTCCCACCGCATTTCAGACGGAGGGCAGTGGAGCCCTGCCTGGGGCCTGGGAGGCCCTATCCCACTGTGGTTGGATGTGTTGCTACCTCTCTTGCACCCTGCAGGTCTCAGGGATGGGAGGGGCTTATTTGGAGGTGAAAGACTCCGACCCACAGAGTCAGTGAGTCCAGGCGCAGCCCCTCGGGAAGGCTGGAAGGGAACACCCAAGGCTGGTAGTGTCCCTCCACTGTCCCTGTACCTGCTGCCAGCTCCGGAGGACCCCATCAGGGTCCCCAGATGTACAACTTTCTGACTTCCATTTTGGGAGTCAGCAAAAAGGAGACGTTTTCTCGGAGGAGGGCAGTTTCAGTTAAGCAGAGGGAGAAGCCCCAGGGCTGGCCACTGAATAAAAAGAGAACTTTGTTGACAGACGGTAACCTCCCAACACAGAGGGGAGTCACAGGCTGCACCTAGCCACACTCCCTGCTGTCAGCCCTGGAAAAAGGTGGGCTATGAGTGTGAAGGACTGCGGAGGTGGGAGGGAAGAGGTTGGTAAGGTTTAGGGAGTAAGCAAGAAGGCTTGCAGCGCATCCGAGAAATGGGAAGGAAGACGTGAAAAACAGGAGGAGGGGTGGGGGATGAAAACGAGGCTGAGAAGGGGTGGGGCTGTTCCTCCGCAGAGAGGAGGCCACACCCCACGCTGCCCCTGCGGTCAAGCCTGGTCAACCCCCGCAGGGTTCCCGGATGTGCTTTCCCAGCCTCCATCTTCTAAGTCTTGGAAGGCATTTTGTGAGGAGGCGCGATCTAGGTCAGCCGAGGGAAGTCTTAGATCCAACCAGTTCTCAAGGTAAGGGCCCCGAGGGAGAACTGAGGGACCTACCACCACAAAGAGAAAAACCCCCGGCCCGCCCTGCCCCTGCTGTGGGACTTGGAGGTCACAGAGGGTAAGAGAGCAACCGAGGGCTGAGGTACAGGAATACGGCAACCGGGGGCTGCAGGACGGGTCCTACTGACGGGAATACGGCAACTGAGGGCTGAGGGACGGGTCCTCCTATCGGGAATACGGTAACTGAGGGCTGAGGGACGGGTCCTCCTGACGGGAATAGGGCAACCGAGGGCTGATACGGGGAGCAGGGTGGGAATCTGTCCTCTGAGGTGGAGGTTCCCTCAGTCCTCCTCAAAGTCTTACTGTTTATTCCCTACAGGGCCGGCACCTCCTCCCTTCAGTCGTGGGGATGCGGCGCTCAGCTCTCGGCAGCCATTTTCCTGCCAAGGCTGATATGAGGGTCAGGGTGGGAATCTGTAAGCAGTAACTAAAAGTGTCTGTTTTTGTCTAAAACTAGAAAAGGCAGGCGCGCCACCCCGAGGGCCTAGGAGTCTTCTGGCGACAGAGGAGGCTGAACCGGGGCTGCAGCCAGGGAGGCGGCACTGGGCTTCCTGGGGAGCCCGTCACAGGCAGGGCCTATTCACGACGCAGGAAGGGCCAAGGTTGGCCTGCAGCCCTCCGCCAGGACCAGACGTCTGCAGGGGCTCCCCTGAAAGCCGGCAGTGCTGGTTCAGGTGAGTATCTTCCTCTGGTTTATTGTTTTAAATAAATCCTCTCTTTCCCCGCCTTTTGCTCCCCGCACCCTTTCAGATCCTGCCATCGGGGCGGGCGGCTAGGTGGCCCTGTAGGGAATAAATAAGGAGACTTTGAGGAGGACTGAGGGAACCCCCACCTCAGAGGACAGATTCCAACCCTCCTCCTCATATCAGCCTTTGCGGGAAAATGGCTGCCGAGAGCTGAGAGACACATCCCCAGGACCAAAGAAAGGAGGAGGTGCCGGCCCTGTAGGGAATAAATAGGGAGACTTTGAGGAGGACTGAGGGAACCCCCTCAGAGGACAGATTCCCACCCTGCTCCCCGTATCAGCCCTGGCAGAGCTCCCCCGTTGGCTCAAGCTCAGCCGCAGCCCCCTCAATTCTGAGTGAAGGGTGTCAGGGACAGGGAGGCCTTGGTCTGAGGGTCCCATGGCAAGTCAGCAGAGGCAGCCATTTTCCCACCAAGGCTGATATGAGGGGCAGGGTTGGAATCTGTCCTCTGAGGTGGGGGTTTCCTCAGTCCTCCTCAAGCTCTTTCTATTTATTCGCTACAGGGCCCGCACCTCCTCCCTTCTTCGGTCGTGGGGATGCGGAGCTCAGCTCTCGGCAGCCATTTTCCTGCCAAGGCTGATATGAGGGTCAGGGTGGGAAACTGTAAGCAGTAGCTAAAAGTGTCTGTTTTTGTCTAAAACTAGAAAAGGCAGGCGCACCACACCGAGGGCCTAGGAGTCTTCTGGCAACAGAGGAGGCTGAACCGGGGCTGCAGTCAGGGAGGCGGCACTGGGCTTCCTGGGGAGCCCGTCACAGGCAGGGCCTCTTCAGGAGGCAGGAAGGGCCAAGGTTGGCCTGCAGCCCTCCGCCAGGACCAGACGTCTGCAGGGGCTCCCCTGAAAGCCAGCAGGCAGTGCTGGTTCAGGTGAGTATCTTCCTCTGGTTTATTTTTTAAAATAAATCCTCTCTTTCCCGCCTTTTGCTACCCCCACCCTTTCAGATCCTGCCATCGGGGTGGGCGGCTAGGTGGCTCTGTAGGGAATAAATAAGGAGACTTTGAGGAGAACTGAGGGAACCCCCTCAGAGGACAGATTCCAACCCTACTCCTCGTATCAGCCCTGGCAGAGCTCCCCAGTTGGCTCAAGCTCAGCCGCAGCCTCCTCATTTCTGAGTGAAGGGTGTAAGGGACGGGGAGGCCTTGGTCTGAGGGTCCCACGGCAAGTCAGCAGAGGCAGCTGCCTCCGGTTGGCAGAGGGAAGATTCCCAGGCCCTGCTGGGGATAAGAGGGAGGACTGAAGTGTCATATGTGCTTCAGAGCAGATGTGAGGCTGCCCCGACTGTCCCTGTGGTAGAGTATGGGATGTGGCTGCCTCTTCACTACCTCCCTCTGCTCTCAGGGATGTGGAGGTTGCTCTGAGGTTTTGCCTCAGGCCGGCAGAGTGGTAGGAGATGTGGCCCGGTCTGAGAAAATGTGACAACGCTAATACAACTCTCAGTGGGCCACAAACCCCAGAACTGTGGGGCTCTGGATGTCTCGCCAGCCCCAGCTGCAATCTTTAGCCAGAGGGGCTCTGTTGCTGCTGCTGCTCCTTTTGTTTGTTTGTTTTGGGAGAAGTTTCTGTCTTGTCACCCAGGCTGGCGTGCAATGGCATGGTTTCAGCTCACTGCAACCTCCACCTCCCGGGTTCAAGTGATTGTCCTGCTTCTGCCTCCCAAGTAGCTGGGATTACAGGTGTCCACCACCGTGCCTGGCTGATTTTTGTATTTTCAGTAAGACAGAAATACATGTTGTCCAGGCTGCTGTCGATCTTCTGACCTTAGGTGGTCCACCCGCCTTGGCCTCCCAAAGGGCTGGGATTACAGGCATGAGCCAGAGTGCCCAGCCCTCTCTCACTTCTTCTTGCAGGGGGTCCAGGAACCAGGAGTTGAAGACCAGGGTCTGAGTTCCACTTCTAAACTCAGCACAGCAGAGGAGGCCCAGGCAAAGCTAGGAGTCAAGGTGAGTGCACACCCTGACAGTGTACCAAGGGCCCTACTCCCACAAACAGAGCAGACGTGGCAGCACCCAGTCCTAACCACCTACTGCCATTCCTGCTGCCCCAGGCTCTGCCAGCCAACTGTGCCCTGAGGTGCTTTCTCACATTCTCCTACAGGTTCCCACAGAGCAAACGCCCTAGGAAGACAGGCGATCTGTGAGGCCTAGAGTACCATCTTAAGAGAAGGAGACTTGTAAGGCAGCCTTTGTCAGAGCCATCATGGGTGAGTTGCTCAGCTGAGACCGCTCACACGGTCCCTATCTCCCTCAGGCCTGTGGGACCCCATCATTCCCATTTGTGCTCAGTCACACGTTTACCTGCTGCTCCTGAACAATATTCATCATGCCTCTCTTTCCAAACCTTTCATGCCCCAGCTTTGAGCAAGACTTCCAGAGCCCAATTTTAATACTGGAGTTGGTAGATTCACAGGATCCCACAGACGAGGAACAGGAGGAAACCTCCTCCATTTTCTCTTCCTCTTTCTACTTTTAATTCTCCTCCTCTTCCTCCTCCTCCTCCTCCTCATCTTCTTCCTTCTCCTCATTCTCATTTTTTTCTCTGATTTTGGATGTTCAAGCAGACAAGGAGATGCCTGCTGCTGGGATGCCGAGTCTTCTCCAGAGTTCTCCTGAGAATCCTCAGAGTCCACCGGAGGGGCCTGACCAGTCTCCTCTCCAGAGTCCTGTAAGCCCCTTCGTCTCCTCCACTTCATTGAGTCTTCAGAGTCCTCCTGAGAGTCCTCCTGAGAGTCCTCAGAGTCCACCTGAGGGGCCTGTACAGTCTCCTCTCCTGAGTCCTGTGAGCTCCTCCTCCACTTCACTGAGTCTTCCCCTAAGGTCCCCTGAGTATCCCAAGATTCCTCCTGAGGGGCCTTCCCAGTCTCCTCTCCAGAGTCCTGTGAGCACCTTCGTCTCCTCCACTTCAGTGAGTCTTCAGAGTCCTCCTGAGAGTCCTCCTGAGAGTCCTCAGAATCCATCTGAGGGGCCTGTACAGTCTCGTCTCCTGAGTCCTGTGAGTTCCTCCTCCACTTCACTGAGTCTTCCCCTGAGTTCCCCTGAGGATCCCCAGAGTCCTCCTGAGGGAACTGCCCAGTCTCCTCTCCAGAGTCCTGTGAGCACCTTCGTCTCCTCCACTTCATTGAGTCTTCAGAGTCCTCCTGAGAGTCCTCAGAGTCCACCTGAGGGGCCTGTACAGTCTCCTCTCCTGAGTCCTGTGAGCTCCTCCTCCACTTCACTGAGTCTTCCCCTGAGTTCCCCTGAGGATCCCCAGAGTCCTCCTGAGGGGCCTGCCCAGTCTCCTCTCCAGAGTACCCTGAGCCCCATCCTCTCTTTCACTTTGTTGAATCTTTCCCAGAGTTTCCCTGAGAGTCCTCAGAGTCCTCCTGAGGGGCCTGCCCAGCCTATTTTCCAGAGTTTTGTGTGCTCCTTCTCCACTTCACTGAGTCTTCTCCAGAGTTTCCCTGAGAGTCCTCAGAGTCCTCCTGAGGGGCCTGCCCAGCCTATTTTCCAGAGTTTTGTGTGCTCCTTCCCCACTTCACTGAGTCTTCTCCAGAGTTTCCCTGAGAGTTCTCGGAGTTCTCCCGAGGGGCCTGTGCAGTCTCCTCCCCAGAGTCCTGTGAGCTCCTCCTCCTCCAGTTCATTGAGTCTTCTGCAGAGTTCTCCCGAGAGCCCTCAGAGTCCTCCTGAGGGACCTGCCCAGTCTCCTCTCCAGAGTGCTCTGAGCCCCTTGATCTCTTCCACTTTGTTGAATCTTTTCCAGAGTTTCCTTGAGAGTCCTCAGAGTCCTTCTGAGGGGCCTGACCAGCCTGCTTTCCAAAGTTCTGTGTGGTCCTTCCCCTCCACTTCACTGAGTCTTCTCCAGAGCTTTCCTGAGAGTCCTCAGAGTCCTCTTGAGGGGCCTGCCCAGCCTATTTTCCAGAGTTTTGTGTGCTCCTTCTCCACTTCACTGAGTCTTCTCCAGAGTTTCCCTGAGAGTCCTCGGAGTTCTCCCGAGGGGCCTGTGCAGTCTCCTCCCCAGAGTCCTGTGAGCTCCTCCTCCTCCAGTTCATTGAGTCTTCTCCAGAGTTCTCCCGAGAGCCCTCAGAGTCCTCCTGAGGGGCCTGCACAGTCTTCTCTCCTGAGTCCTGTGAGCTGCTCCTGCACTTTACTGAGTCTTCCCCAGAGTTTCCCTGAGAGTCCTCGGATTCCTCCTGAGGGGCTGTCCCAGTCTCCTCTCCAGAGTCCTGTGAGCTCATTCACCTCCTCCTCCCGCTCCTCCTCCTCCCCCTCCCCCGTCTCCCCCTCCCCCTTCTTCCCCTCCCCCTCTGCCACCTACCCTACCCCTCCCCCTACCCCTCCCCCTCATACCCCTTCCCCTCCTTCTTCCCCTCCCACTCCCCCTCCCCCCGTCCCTCGTCCCCTCCCCCTTCCCCTCCTCCCCCTCCCCCTCCCCCTCCCCTCCTCCTCCTCCTCCCTCCTCCTCCCGCCTCCTCCCCCGCCTCCCCTCCTCCTCCCTCTCCTCCCCTCCTCCTCCTCTCCTCCCCTCCCCTCCTTTTCCTCCTCCTCCTGTTCATTGAGATTTCTCCAGAGTTCTTCTGAGAGTCCTCACAGTCCTCCTGAGGGGCCTGCACAGTCTGCCCTCCAGGATCCTGTGACCTCCTTCTCCTTCAGTCCACTGAGTTTTCCCCTGAGTTCCCCTGTGTGTCCCCAGAGTCCTCCTGAGGGTCCTTCCCAGTCTGCTCCCCAGGGTCCCGTGAGCACCTTTTCCTCCTGTCCATTCCCTCTTACCCTGAGTTCCCCTGAGTGTCCCCAGAGTCCTCCTGAGGGGCCTTCCCAGTCTGCTCTCCAGGGTCCTGTGGGCTCTTTCTACTCCTCCACTTTATGGAACCCATCCAGTGAAGAGTCCAGCAGCCCAGCAGATGAAGATACAAGAACCTCAGACACCTTACTAGACAGTGAGTCCTTGACAGATAATGAGTCCCCGACAGCCACTGAGCCCTTGTTTGCTCATACACTGGATGAAAAGGTGGATGAGTTGGTGTGATTTTCGTCAGCAGGTACAGGGGCTACTTTCCTATGATCTTCAGGAAAGCCCGTGAGTTCATAGAGATTCTTTTTGGCATTGCCCTGACAGAAGTGGGCCCCGACCACTCCTATGTCTTTGTAAATACATTAGACCTCACCTGTGAAGGGAGTCTGAGTGATGAGCAAGGCATGCCCCAGAACCGCCTCCTGACACTTATTCTGAGTATAATCTTCATAAAAGGCTCCTGTGCCTCTGAGGAGGTCATCTGGCATGTGCTGAATGGAATAGGGGTATGTGCTGGGAGGGAGCACTTCATCTTTGGGGAGCCCAGGGAGCTCCTCACTAAAGTTTGGGTACAGGAACATTACCTGGAGTACCGGGAGGTGCCCAACACTTCTCCCCCACGTTATGAATTTCTTTGGGGTCCGAGAGCCCATTCAGAAATCAGCAAGAGAAAAGTAGTAGAGTTTTTGGCCATGCTAAACAATACCGTCCCTCGTTCCTTTTCACCCTCATACAAGGATGCTTTGAAACATCTAGAAGAGAGAGCCCAGGCCACAATTGACACCACAGATGACTCCACTGTCACAGACGGTGCAAGCTCCGATGTTTCCCAGCCCGTCTTCCCCTGAGCAAAGTCTAAGGCAGAATCTTCCTTTTGAGTGTGAACAGGGCAGGCGAGTTTCTATGCCATGGAGGGCCCGGGTGAAGCTGGCGAGAACAGAGTGTTTGCGTTTCTGTTCCATATGGTAGTTAAGGGATTTACCTATTTTACTTTGGGGTATTTTTCAAATGCTTTTCCTTTTAATAACAGGTTTAAATAGCTTCAGAAACTTAGTTTATGGAGTTTATGAATATTAGTCACACATGTGCTGCTGTTTAACTGGTTGAGGGGTAACGGTTTGATAGTTTGTAAAACACACACACACACACACACACACACACACACGATTGGGAAAACCTGCCTTATCTGTGGTCTGTCACACTTTAATATGGTATTACTGTAGCAATTTTCTTTAAATTGTAAAAGAACTCTGGAGTTGAATAGTGGAACAAAACAAAGGATTGTTAATATTTGCATTTCCTCATACCCTTTAGTCTGCTGTTCTTGAAAATTAAAGATACGTACCTGGTTTTCTTGGCTTGTTTAATAAAGTAGCAGAGATTAAATGATAATAAATAAAAATATCACGGACTCCTTTATTTGACGAACATTATATCAGCATTTGCTCATGGAAGTTACGTTTAGTAGTGAAGTTACTATTAAAGGCAAGACTTACACCTACTCATAAAACGGTAGAGTATAGGTACAGAAGCCATATCGGGAACTTGGTAAGATTTTTCTCTTCAATCTAAAGAGTAAGTTTAAAAAGGAGTGGGGCGGTGAGACTCCAGTTGGAGCCTTCAAACAAAAAGGCCCTGAGCTAAGGCAGTTTTGGGCTTCGGGAAACTGCACTTGCTTCTGTGGGAGCTGATTTTTATGAAGCTGGGTGGTGGCGGGGCCCAGACTCTCAGAAGGTGAGAGAAAAGCCTGGAATGGAAAGCTACTTGAGCAGTTCCCTCTGGGTGAAGGATGAGGCAGAGAGGAGTCTCCACATGGGGAAGTAATGGGAGGTGTCCTGCAGCTCTTGTGCACTTGAACACAGTACTTTTGTCCAGCCCCAGGACTTTCCCACGTTATAGCACTGTCCTTTCGATCTCCCGTGTGCTCTCGTGCAACTATGGAACCTGGCCTGCTGACTAACTTGTCACCGTGTTTCCCACTCTGAAGGCTGTACCCAGCTCTCAGTGCCAGACGCCATTGACATCTACCCTTCCCCTAACATAGACCACTCTCTGTCTCTGCAGAAGTTCCCTGACTGATCCATCCCTCTCCCTGGCTCCTCTGTGATAACAGACTTTGATGTGAATATACACTTTGAATAGTGACATTTCCATACATATGCTGGGCATCTTCACCACATTCTCAACATATTTCCAAATAGACTGCAGAGTAAAATCTAATTTGTCACACAATATACTTGTTTTAGGGATGTAAGCCTAAGGTAGATATAGCGTATTTGAAATCATCGTAATATTTGATATTTGTAGTAGGATTTTAATAAAATACATTATTTGAAACGGGGCGCTGAACCCAAATACAGATGAATGAGCTTTTGTAGGTGATCAAATGCCAATCTTTCCTTAATAAACTTTGTAGATAAGGAAAGACTGTAGAAATCACTTTGCAAATGATCTACAAGAAGACGAATTTCTTAAAAAACAAAAAAATCTTGAAACCTGCCTCGGAGGTAACAAGGGTACTTTGTGGACATGCCAGCTCTGATGAGAAAAAAAAGTTATAGTTAAACATCCTTCCCCTGTCTCTTTTCTGTGTACCTGCCCCACAGGAAAATCTTTTTTTTGCAGTGTGCCACAGGCACATGTATAGCTGTTCAGGAATGTTCCATCGTATGGAGGGTGGCCGAGGCTCACAGGTAGATTATTTATCATACACCAAAAATAGGAGAGTATTGTCAGCCTAAAGAAATTATATAGCTTATTAAAAGGACAGTGCAAAGTGCTATTGAGGGAATAAGGTTGACTCTCCCTGCCAAGATTTACAAAATTGTTTTAAAACAGGATGTAATCTTGTGTTTGAAACCACGAGTCACTTTGTTGGTGCAAGAAAATGTTGGAAGATTTCAAGGCTATGCTGACATTCCCAGAAATAATTCCAAGAAATGAAGAAACTGTCATAAATCATAGTAGTTGGTTTTAATTGAGCACCATAATAACATATGGGAGAAACTACAAGTGCCCATTTTCATTTGTCTACCTCACCTTCTTGGGTGGTTCATTTATAGTTAGAAGCCAGTGCATCATTCCCGTGCTTTTGTTTCTGTTGAGCAGTTAACATGTGTTGTGATGTGGAGCTACAAGTGGAAAGCAGCTTGGATTCTTGGGTCAGGCGAAAGCCAGGATGGACTGTGTATTAGTCTATTATACCATAACAGAATACCACAAACTGGGTGACTGAAAAAACAGAAATTATTTTCTCACATTTCTGGAGGCTAAATATCTAAGGTGAAGATGTTGGCCAGTTTGATTTCTTCCCTGGCCTCTCCGTGGCTTGCTGATTGCTACTTTCTCAGTGAATTCTTACATGGTTGTTCCTTAGTCTGTGTGTCTGTATCTTAATCTGCTCTGCTTATGAGGACACCAGTCATATTGAATATGATCCTAACCGTAAAATCTCATTTTACCTTAATTGCCTCTTCAAAGGTTCTGTCTCCAAATACGATGACATTCTGTAGTACTGGGGTTAAGACGTGGATATATCATTTTGGGGAGAGGGGGCACAATTCAGCCCATAACACCCTGCCAACTGAAACCGGAATTTATGTGCACAAAAATCAACTTGTGTTAAGCCATTTAACTTTCAGGAGATTTTTTTCTGTTCCATCAGCTTGCTTTCACTTAATCTGACTACTACAGTACTCCTCTTGCTTTCTTAGGGTTATCTCAGTATTTAGTTAAAAGTAAATAGCACATGTATTTTTGTGGCAAAAAATTCCAAAAATACATAGAAATTGCATTTTTTCCTTTAAAATTTTCAAAATTCAGCCTCCTACTCAGAAGTTGCCACAAGTAACAATGTGGCTGTGTAAATTTTGAAAGATGATTTTTGATTTCTGGCTTTTATAAAGATAGATGTGCTATTTTGTATATACACATGTATGTATACACACACGTATGTAATGATATAATGATATACATATAGATCTGTGACACTTGCCTTTGCCACTATTATAGGTTCAATTGCCTCTTCTGCAAAATTCTACATTTTTAAAATTAAAATGTGACATGACTTGTAGATAGGATTATTTCAAAGGCAATCAAGTTAAAATGAGGTTATTAATGCTGGCCTCAATGGAAATCACTAAAAAGGGGATATGTAACAAACCTACACTTGCATCTCTGAATTTAAATTAAATAAAAATTTTAGATACATACATCAAATTTAACTGCTCTGTAAAGTTTTATTTATTTAGGCAAATATCTGTGGGTTTCCACCTTGAGCTCTGAGGTTTGATACACCAATCCTGGCTATGAGCAGAGGCCATCTGCCCCTGGGATGTGGCGACAAAGCTAAGGAAGGAAGTCAGCACATGAACAGCTGAATTGATCCTGGCCATAGTGGGTGGAGAGAACTCTAATCCTCAGGGAAATCTCTGGCAAAGCCACAAGTCAACCTTTTTTGGAATCTTAGGGCTCCTGAATCCTTCTGAGGGTCCTGTCAGGAGTAAGAATTGTTGAAAGGAAATATGCGGAGCTCTTATCCATGTGGAAAGGGAGACAGTCCTCTACGCCTATCAGGTCAGCAACCTGGCAATGCCACGAAGTCAGTAAAGTGTTTGTGGACCTGGTCAGGGTGTCTATCATCAACACAACATCCCTCCGTCATGACTTTCTGGAATAGAACTGCTCGGGTTATATGTCTTGAAATCTCAGAGTTCCAATGGTCAGCAGGAGGACTGGTCAAGTAAGAGGGGGAATAAATCCATCATCGTCCCGGGTAGCCTTTCCCTAGCTACTGTTGAGATCCAAGTCTTACCCTCAAAAAGCAAAGGCTTGTGAAAGCAGCTAGGCCTTCTATGGCTGAGACAAGGGGAAGAGAGGAAGTGCCATTTCGTCTGTTCCTCTTTGACTCATATCATCTCACTCCTCTTGTTACTGAAGTGACCAATGACCCCGACCTCTTTCAGTTCTTTCAACTCTAGCCTTACTGATGCTCTGATTTACTCATACTGCTGACCCACTAAAAGATAATCTATACGAAGACTTATTTATTATTCTGTGCATTTCTGTGTTTTTGAAGTATTTATAATAAACATTTTTATAGTAGCTTTTGAATTTCCCTGTAATTGCGTTTTTTTTTTAATAATATGAAAAAGGGTTCCACTTACGTTAGGTTTTTTATATGGATATTCAGTTATTCCACTGATAGTATTTTAACAAGACAGTCTCCTGTTCTAAAGCTGCAACATTTTTAAATCAGTTAAGCTTGCATTTAGACATGTTTTGTTGGTTTTGTTTTTCAGGACTTTCCATTCAGTTCCATTGGTCTATCTGTTAATCCATGCACCCAAATCTCAAACTCTTTGTTACAACGGCTTGTTTGTAATTCTTACTATCTGGTGGACAGATTGCTCTTTTTCAAGAGTGCATTGAATATGCTTTGCTATTTGCATGTCTTCATAGTTTAGAGTCAGGTGATTCAGTCCGGGCGCGGTGGCTCACGCCTGTAATCCCAGCACTTTGGGAGGCTGAGGTGGGTGGATCACGAGGTCAAGAGATCGAGACCATCCTGGTCAACATGGTGAAACCCCGTCTTTACTAAAAATACAAAAAATTAGCTGGGCATGGTGGCGCGTGCCTATAATCCCAGCTACTCAGGAGGCTGAGGCAGGAGAATTGCTTGAACCCAGCAGGCGGAGGTTGTGGTAAGCCGAGATCGCTCCGTTGCACTCCAGCCTGGGTAACAGGCTAGCTAAACTCCATCAAAAAAAAAAAAAAAAAAAAAAAAAAAAAGAATCAGGTAATTCATACATGCCTTCATGTCCAAAGGCATTTTGTTGTTTTGATTTGGGATCACGATTAAACTATAGATTCCATTTTAACACAAACTATTGGAACTTCATTCCCATGAATTATTTTAGTTTATGTTCTTGTGGGTCTTCATTAATATTTTAAATAACATTTTCACAGTTTTTCTGTAATGTTTTAATTTTTTTGTTTAAAAATTTTTAATGTACTTAATGTTTGGAATGATAGGTTAGAGGTTATATTTTATTTCTCTTTCTTTCTTTCTTGTTTCTTTCTCTCTCTCATTCTTTCTGTCTTTTGTTCCTTTTTTGATAGAGTCTCACTCTGTCGCCCAGGCTGGAGTGGAATGGTGTTATCTCAGCTTACATCCTCCACCTTCCAGGTTCGAGCAGTTCTTCTGCCTCAGCCTCCCGAATACATGGGATTACAGGCACCCACCATCATGCCTGGCTAATTTTTGTATTTTGGTAGAGATGGGATTTCACCATGTTGGTCAGGCTAGTCTTGAACTCCTGACCTTTGGCCTCCCAAAGTGCTGGGATTACAGGCATGAGCCACCGTGCCCATCCTTATTTTCAAAGTCATTTTTTGCCACAAGAAA